GTTGGCAGCATCATGATAGATGGTGAAGAGATTGAGATTGTTCACAGTTTTAGTTTGCTTGGTTCCATAGTCAGCATTCTTGGTACCAGCATCCAGGAAGTCAAAAGATGTATTGCACTGGGAAAGTCTGCTGTCAGAGAGCTATCCAGAGTACTGGAGAGCAACAGTGTCAGTCTGGAGACTAAGGTGCAACTGATCCAGGCCTTTGTCTTTGCAATTATGTGCTATGCATCAGCAAGCTGGACAGTGACAAGGGATGATAAAAGAATTGATGCCTTTGAGCTATGGTGCTGGAGGGTGCTAAATATACCATGGATTGCTAAGAGAACAAACAGGTTCATTCTGGAAAGTGTTAAACCGGGCTGCTCCTTGGAAGCAAGCATTCTGAAGCTCCATCTAACATACTTTGGCATGTTGCAAAGAGGGACCAGTCTTTGGAGAGGGATATTATGCTTGTGAGGGGACAGCACAAGAGTGGAAGACCCTCGAGATGGATTGACTCATTGGCGGAGTGTGTGTCCTTGACTGGTAGAGATGTCTCTGACTGTGTCAGAGATGATAAGGGTGGCTCAGGACAGGGCAGGGTTCAGAGCTGTTGTACATAGGGTTGCTATGAATTGCACGCAACTTGATGGCACATAACACGATGACTTATTGGCAAGAAACCGCACTACAAGCTTGAAGGTATGTGGTTTGAAGCCACCAGCCGCTTCATGGGAGGTTAGACAGTCTCCTCCTGTGCAGTTAACTGCCTTCGAAAACCTGCTGGAGGGTCAGCCATGGGTCGGTTCTGACTCACCAACAGCCACCTACTCTTGGGCTGAGTATGCAGCAGCTGGTTGGGGCTCGCCCAGGAGGAGAGTAAGGAAGGTGTTTCAGACAGTGATCCTGATGTAGACGAAGTCATGGAGGTGAGTAATAGAGCTTGGCTGACGAATAAAATGGTTTGGTAGTGCACTGGTTATATAAGACGTTATGCACCGCCCTGCTAACCAAAAGGTCAGCAGTTCAAATCCACTAGTTGCTCTCAGGGAGAAAGATGAGCAGTCTGTTCCCATAAAGAGTTACAGCCTCAAAAACCCAATGGAAGGCTGCTGGAATTAACTCAATGGCATTGGGGGTTTGAGTTGTTGTTGGTGTGGGTTTTGGGTAGAGTAGGATAAACTGGGGCTCTGTGAGGAGTGTCAGGCAGAAGGAACAGCTGGGACTGGGTGTGTCAAAACACCTGGAGTGCCTTTCCAAAGAGTGGGCCAGGGGTGAGGGTGCTGCTGGGGATTTGACGCAGGGAAGGGATGGGCTGAGAGTGGCGTGATGGGAATATCCCGATGGCCATGGTGTTCTGGCCAAGGACATTTACATGACTGCAGGACCCTGACAAGAGGAAGGGAATTTGTTATAAACGAGGGAAGCATTCATTAGAAATGAAGGAATGAATGGTGAAGCGCAACTACCGTAGAGTTTCTAACTTTGCGGACAGGCCCCAAAGAGTGGTTTTGTAGAATGAGCGGGACTTCCAGTGACTCGCAGGGATTTATTTAAGCCCATTAGTGTTTCTGCCTCTGCGTCTGGTTTCCCCAGTAACTGGAGGCATGTTCCCTCCCCCTGTGGGACCTCGATTTCTCTTCTATAATATGTATGTATGTGGCAGCGCTCTCCACCCCAGGCCCTGTCTTCTGATCCCCTCCCTCCACTTTATTTCACTCTGGGAAAGGACCAGGCTGACAGAGGTGCTGGTGGGTGGAAGGGTGGGTGAGCTGAGCTAGTGAACATGTGCAGGGACCCCTCCCAGCATCATATCGTGCCCCACTTGAGTTCTCCGTTCCCGTCTCCTCACCAAGTGAGCAAAGCTTGGTTTCTGTGTCATTTGCTGCTCAGTCTCTGTCTCTCTCTGTGCCCTGATTGTCTTTTCCTGTCTTCCCCTCTGTCTCTACCTTTAGTGTCTCTGATGTCTGTCTCTGATGTCTGTCTCTGTTTTCTGTGTCTTCCTCTCCACCGTTCTTACTCCATCTCCCGCGTAGGTTTCTGTCTGTTCTCTCCTCTTCCCCTAGTCTCTTCATCTTGCTCCCACCTCTCCAGGTCTCTCTCTGTTTCTCTGTCCCTCTTTCTCTTGGCCCCACCTCTCCTTTCTCCCTCCCTCCCCTCTCCCCATCGTGGGCCACCACAGCCCTAGACAGAGGCTCACACTCTGTGGCCTGTCAAAAGCCAACACCCTGACCTTGGAAGGAGGGGCAGGGTGAGGACCCAGGACACTGTCCTTCCAGGCTGCTGGGACCCCCTCGGGCAGATGGGGCAGGCGGCTGCCGAGGCTCAGGTGGCACAGGGTCGAAATTTTCTGCCCCCCAAATTCTGGGACAGTTGCTCTGCCTTTCAGAGTTTCGGAGATGCCTGAGCTCCATCAAATTGATGTGGTTGTTGTGAGGTACCATCAAGGCAGAACCGACTTCATAGCTGACCCTCCAGTGGGTTTTCAGAGGTGGTTAACTTCCCTGGAGGAGACTGCCCATCTTTCTCCCATGGAGCAGCTGGTGGATTGGAACCCCGTGCCTTTGAGTTTGTGGAAAGCTTCCCTGTTTTTATGTAGTAGAGGTGCTGGTGCAGAGAAGGAAGCCTCCTGGTGGTGGAGGACAGCGGTTCTGCTGTGGCCCCAGGCGCACATCCCCTGCTGCCAGAGGACCGGCAGCCATCAGTTCTCAGACAAGCCCAGCCTGTGTGACTTCTCATAGACCCCCTCACAGGCATAGAGCAGACCCCTTCATAGGCATAGAACTACCTGCTCAATGGACTTTCCCACCTCTTCGTCCAGTTACTCCCTGCAGTGGTCTCCTCAGGAAACCGAAAGTCCAGCCCACCCTGGAAGGCAGAGCAGCTGTTCCCCAGCGTTCATAGATTTTCTTTGTTTTCATCTTAAAAACTGTGCTAGGTCGACCCCATCTCAAAGTAAGGAGTTAGACTCCAGTCTTCGGTGCACGGAGCAGAGTTAACCTAGAGTAACCGTTCTGTCATGTTTCTGACAATTCATTTTTCCTTCTGAGAGCCCATCTGGGATCTTGTACCCTCTGACTATCTGTCCAAGGCTGTACTCACGGTAAAATGAATTTGGAAAATGAAGTTACAGATGGGAAAGTCCTTTGCCCTTGTCATGAAAAGCTTAAGCAATGGAATAGAGTGGCTTTAGGGACATAAAATTGTACCCAGAGTCGCCTTAGTGGCAACCGTATTCAGCTCCCCAGTACTCTCGCAAGATCCCAACCCTCATTGCCTCAGGAAGCTGTACCCTTGACGCTGTGCTGCTCCTGTTGTTTTGTTGTGTACCATCAAGTCGGACCTGACCCGTCACTGACCCTCCAGCGGTTTTCAGAGGCAGTTAATTGCATAGGAGGAGACTGCCCATTTTTCCCCCACGGAAGCAGCTTAGGGCCTTGAACTGTGTACCTTTGGGATTGCAGTGCAGCTTCTTGCCACTAGGCCACCAGAGCTCCCTTGGCCTCACAGACTGTAGGTTATTCTAGCTAATTTTCAGGGCTAGGTTAATTCAGACAAGCTGTCTTGGAAAATCCCAGAATGGGATCTGATTCAGGAGATCACATTCATTTCTGGTTCTTCTGCACTGTGGTCCTGGGAAGGGACTGTGCCTCTCTGGATCCTTGTCTCTTCTGCATCCCTCCTTCATTTTCATCCTCTTTAAAAGCCAGGGGCACAAAGCATTAGAAGCCTTTGTGAGGAGGAGGAGAAGGTGGAGGAGGAGGAGGGAGGGAAGAAATGACACAACAATGCTTGCTGAGGTGGATGGCTCCTAAGCCGAAGATTTCACTCCAGACTTTGCTGTGCCTCACTGATTTCTCATAGCATCCCTGGTGGGAGAAGCTGCTTGGCCCCATTCTATAGATGAGGAAACTGAGGGCTATATAAGTGACATGAAATCCACACTCATGGAGTTGAAACCACAGCCAGTATTTTGAAGGTCAAGTACAATAATGTTCTACCTGACCTTTAAGCTTGCCATTCAAGTCCCTTAGCTGACATGAGAAGAAGAGGTCTAAAAGAATTAGGAGCACAGTCTCAGGAGCCTGGAGGGTCTGACTTTGAAGCTTAGATCTGCCAGTCCTTGAATTTTTAACATGATGTGATATTTGGTCTTCCTGTGACTCGGGTTCCCATCTGTAATATTCTGTGGTCCCCATAATTTTCAGTCTAGGCTCTTGCTCTCTGTTTTCCCACAATTTCATCTCTTCTCGTCCCAGGGCCTTTGCACATGCTGTTTGCCCTCATCTGGCCCTCCCTCCTCTGCTCTTTTGACCTAGTAAACCCATGTTCATCCTTCAGTTCTCAATTTAAGCACCTCTTCCTCTAGGAAACCATCCCTCATGGCGGCCCAGCTAGATCAGTGGTGGTGCCTAAGATAACGGGACTTTGGGCTCTAAGCCAGGTCCATGTCTATTCCACGTACCTCTCACCATCTGGAGCCAGTGTATTCCCAGGGCTTGTCTTCCTGATGGTGACATGAGAAACACAAGGTAGCAAACAAAAACATGTGATGTTTCTTGAGACGTTGGTGTGGAAATGGTTGTTACTTCCATCCTCATCCCATTGGCCAAAGCCAAGTTCATGACTAAACTCAGTGCCAGGGAACTGAGGAGTTAGACTCCACCCAAAGAGAAGTCACCCAGCTTGTCCTGGTCACACACCAATTCTCCTCTTCTATAGGACTAACCTGAGTTGTGATGTTTTATTTATTTAAATAACCCAGTTCTCATGAGTGAGATTCACAATGTTTCTATAAATCATGTTAAACCTATTTCCATGCTCACAACCTTGCACAGAGTAGGTGCTCAATAAATATGTGAGTGATGGAATGAATGCGTGTGGGTGTGAGGAGGTCCTGAGGGGCTGGGGTGGCTTCTGCCTTTCCCAGCTCACCTGCACTGTCCCCTGTCCCCTGTGTCTGTCTCCTGTCTCCTGTCTCCTGTCCCCTGTCCCCTGTCCGCTGGCTGGCGGAACAGGCTTTAAAGGTGAGCGGGACCACTGGCGCAGCGGGCGGACCATCTGCATCAAGACGCACGAGAGTGGCCAGAAGGAGATCGAGGCCTTCGATGCCGCCATCCTGCTCATCCGGAACCCCTACAAGGCCCTCATGGCAGAGTTCAACCGCAAGTATGGCGGCCACATCGGCTTTGCTGCCCACGCCCACTGGAAGGGCAGAGGTATGCTTGGGCGAGACAGGCAAGCAGGTTCTGGGCTTGAGGGACCAGTGTTACCTGGGCCAGAGTGGTCCGGAGGGTGCGATGCTTCATGGAGAATCTAGGAAGACATCCTTCAGGGCCCGTGTGAGATGCTCCGTGCCCAGTCCCTGCGAGAACTTAGGGGCTCCCACAGCCTGCCGTACCTACAACTTCTTGTTCTACTCAACTCAGTTCTGCTTCAGTGAGCATAATGTTGCTGTTGTTGTTATATGCTGTTGAGTTGCCTGCGACTCATAGTGACCCCATGCATAGCAGCTCTGAAGCCTGCCCTGTCCTGAGCCAGTCTCACTGACTCCGACATGCCAACCCCCATTGCCCCAGTTACTGTATCAATTCATGTCACCTGGGGTCTTCCTCTCCTGCACTGTCCCTCTACCTTTCCAATCATGATGTCCTTCTCCAAGGATTGATCCCTCCTGGCCACATGCCCAAAGTATGTGAGATGGAGCTTCAAAATCCTAGCTTTCAAGGAGAAACTTGGTTTCACCCTCTCCAAGACAGACCTTTTTATTTTCTTGGCGGTCTATGGTATGTTCAAGTCTCTTCTCCAACACCACAACTTGGCATCAGTTCTTCTTGCGTCATTGTTAGTCATTGTCCAGCTCTGTGATGCATAACAAGTAATTGCAAAGACCGTGCCTGGATCAAGAGCACATGGTGAGCATAATAGAGCAGGTTAAATAAAGAGCCAGGAAACCTGGGATCAGGTGCAGGCCTTTGGCTGACTGGCTGTGTGACCATGTGATTGTCCAGAAAGTCCTAAGAGCTCATTTTCATGAACCAAACCAACAACTCCATTGGTCTACTGAGAGAAGGTAAGAGCCATGGTGCAGGTCACACAGCGGAGAGTGGCAGTGTGGGAACCCAAGCCCTGAGCTTGTTGGCATGGCTTGGGTTTGGGCTTCAACTGTGACAATTTCTAGACTGGAGGATGAGCGAAAGAGAAGAGGGCCTTCAACAAGACGGATTTGCACAGTGACGGTCACGCTGGGATGGAGCACATCACAGACTGCAAGTTTGGTGCAGGACAAGACAGGGTGCAGGTCCATTGTTCACTGGGTTGCTATGAGATGTATAACCAGCTCTGTGCCACCTAACGACAGCCGCAGTGGGTATGAGAGAGCTGTCTGAGGGGAACATATCAATGCGGAGAAGCTTTAAGGTTTATCAGTTTCTGCCATTTTGAGTAGCCTTTGATGCCTTCGAGTTGTGGTGTGAAGAAGAGTCTTGATCATACCGTGGACTACCAGTAACACAAAGAGGTCTGTCTTGGAGAGGGTGAAACCAAGTTTCTCCTTGGAGGCTAGGATTTTGAGGCTCCTTCTCGCATACTCTGGGCACGTGGCCAGGAGAGACTCGTCCTTGGAGAAAGACATCATGCTCGGAAGGGTGAAGGGACAGCACAGGAGAGGAAGATCCTGGACGAGATGGATTGATACAATGACTGGGGCAGTGAGGGTTGGTGTGTTGAAATCAGTGAGATTGGCTCAGGACAGGGCAGGCTTCACGGCTGTTGTCCAGAGGGTTGCTGTGGGTCACAGGCGACTCAGTGGCACATAACAACCCCCATCTCTCTGAGTCTCAAAATCCCATATTGATTACATGATGAGCCATCACCGTAGTGTGAGTCGCATCTCACTAAGTGTAGAAGGGGTGGGTCTCTGGGTGGAGCAAACGATTAAGCAGGCAGCTGGGAACAGAAAGGTTGGCTGTTCAAACACGCCTGGCGGCACCTCGGAAAGAAAGCTTGGCAGTCTGCTGCCAAAAGGTCACAGCTGTGGCAACCTCACATTTGCTCTGGGCAGGTGAGGTCACCGGGAGCGGCAGCTGACAACAACAAGCTCTTCAAGCCCCACAGTCAGCATTATGTCCCCTTTTCTGTACGTGGAGCAACCTTAGATTCAAGGGAGGTTAAGTGAGGAACATTTTCCGGAAAGTGGCAGAGGTGAGGGTTCACGCCCTTGACCGCTGCTGTGATAATGGACTAGCTGGAATGGGGAAGGATATGAATCGCAGGCCCTGACTGCTTTATGCCTGTGGAGTCAGAGCCACTCGTAGCTGACCCTCCGGCAGTAAGGCAGTGGATTGCACGGGGAGGGAGAGACTGTCCATCTTTCCCCTGAGGATCACTGTGGATTCAGAGCGCGTGCCTTTGGGTTGGCAGCGCAACTGCTTCCCGCCAGGCCACCAGAGCTTATGAAAATGTCAGCCAGAGCCGCCAGGAACGGACCTCAGCCAGGAAGGATCCACCACACTGGATCCTCCCGTTGGCTCCCGGCAGCTCCGGAACTCCAGCCCCTCCCACAGATGACCATGGAGGGTGATGATGGGCTGGCCATTCACCAAGTGCACCCTCAGCCTTCACTGACGCGCTCATCTGACAGAACCCGTGGGTCTCCTGACTGTCCTGTCCCTGGCCATCCAGCTCGCTCATGAGGCCCACCTTCCCCTGCCTCGCTTCCTCAGTGAGCAGCTGGGAGCTTGGATAGGGGGTGATAGTCATCCACCGTTCTCTGGATTATTTATGCGTGGAAGTATTGGAATGGATTTTGGTCTGAAGCAGGCTGAGCGGTCTCTTAAGTCCAGGGAGTGACAGTCCACTTGTAAGAGCCGTAAAGAAACTCTAATCGACCCACTGCACGTTAGTCTCCAGTTGTCGTTGTTAGGGTATCGGGGAGCTGAGTACACAGCAACCCCGGAAACAGCCGATCTGCACCTGTCCTGTCCTGCACCATCCTCCTCAACTCCAGCACACAGTGTGACAGACAGTCACTGTGTCAGTCCATGCCAGTGTGGGTTCCTCATGCACTGACCCTCCACCTTTCCTCAGAGGAATGTAGAATAGTCCCAGTACTCGCGCTTTTCTTTAAAGGGCCTGTTGTTGTTGTTGTTGTTGTTATGTGCTGTCGAGTCACCAGCGACTCATAGCCCTCAGTATTTTTTCCAAGCTCTACTCGCAGGAACCAGGTAGAACTGAGAACTGAGGACTTACTCCGTGCTTACAAATGGAGAAATTGAGACACAAGCATCCTGCTTTCCCGAATGAGAAGATCTTCGGCCCCAAAGCTATTTGCAGTCATCATTCATTATGACTTTCCTGAGGTTCGCCTGAACTCAGAAAAGCTACAGTCATCACAGCACTCCACCATCCTGCCGGTGCACAGCCATCCCAGGGCGGGCCCACGCCACTCGTCCCCAGGCATTGACTGAACAGGATTCCAACCCACACCTTGACAAGACTCTGCTACCACTGTATGTCCCTAACCTGCTGAGGCATTTTCAGAGGGTCCCCAGAGTGGTCCAAGTAAGGCGCCTCAGAAGAAAGGCCTGGCGATTGACTTCTGAACAATGAGCCCTTGAAAGCCCTGAGGAGCTTTCTTTGAGTCAGAATCACATAGACAGCAGTTGGCCATCCTTCCTCTCCCCGCTGCAGCCGGTTCTCTGACCTTCCAGGAACTGTTACCGCCCAGCCTCGCTGTGACCTTTCCTTGTTTGTGACAGCTGGAAGCTTTGTAAACCGAAGCTAAGGGGGGAGTCTGGACAGGGGTCGACCCAGAAGCTTCAGGAACAGCTGGGGCTGGAGTCTCATCTCATATTGAGGGTCCCGAGCCCTCACGCTCATCTGGGTGGAGGAAAGGGCTTTATCCCAGCAGCCCCTCCCAGACCTGCCTCTGATCATCTAGTGCTCCTGCCTCGAGCCTGCTCAGAGAACTCACCCAGCCCATTCCTCTCATTCACATGAACTCTCTGGCCTCGGTCAGTACTTGGGTTTGAGGCCTTTGATCCTGGACCTCTGAGGCATCAGCGTCTGAACTCCTCAGGAATTAATTAGAAATGCAGTTTCTCAGGTCTCATCCCAGGGCTGTTGGGGACAGGGTCTGGCCGTCTGCATTTCCATAAGCTGGCTGTCAGGTGCATCCAGTGTGCGGACAAGTGTCAGCTCCACGGTGCCCAAACCTACTACTCAGAGTGTGTTCTGCAGATGGATAGACCGACTGCATCAGGCTCACCTGGAAGTTTTTTCCAGAAAAGTAAATCCCAGGTTTGCAGTTAAAGAGGGCACCATGACATTTCCAGTCTAAGGGTATCTGAGGCTGGACCAGCACCTGGCGCTTTGTTTTCCACCAAGGGTCCCCCCGGACTTGCTGCATCAGAAGCAAGATGGTCTAGGTGCCTCCTCAGCGGCTTAGGGTTTGAGAATCGCTGTAAAAACCAGAGAGAGGACTCCCCCCACACCCCCTGGAGAGCAGAGGTTCCCCAGCTGTGTGCTGTGTCCAGCAGCCTGGCCTCGTGCGCCTCACAGGTATGCCTGGATGAGGCACCCTCAAAGCACCTCTGGTTCCATACCATTAATTTTACTCCCTCCCTGGAGAGGTTCCGTGGCAAAGTTTTATGGGATATGATTACACAAGGTGAATTGTCCTGGAGCAGTTTAATGGAACGGATGCTGTGTTTAATGATTCCACGGGGTATGAAGTCCAGTGATGCTATTAATCAGGCCTCAGTTCCTCCCATCGACGGGAAGATGGAGCAGAGACTGGCCGTTCCAGGGTCGCCCCAGCATGCGTGTGACGCTTCGAACAGACGCCGGCTCTCAAGACAATGCCTCATTGCTCATCCTGAGCTTCCAGTCCAGGTTGGAGGCAGCAATCAATTACCGGGAGGCTGGGCTCACCGCGCCCTTTTGTCTTTCATGTTTATGATCTTGTTCTCCCGTGAATGAATTCAGGCGCCCCTAGTGAGGAAGCCTTGCCACAGGAGAGGAAGAAGGGGAGGCAGGCCCCCTCTGCCAAAGAGCCCAGAAATCAAATAGAGCTTGGGGAGATGCTCCAGTCAAGATGCTTGGACGTGTGGGGGCACCTCAGGAGATGCTGGGGAGAGGGAGGGCCCCAGCCGCGTGAAGTGTAAGCATAAGAGTAGCTGGCATTTCCCAAGCACCTGCGTGGCATGCGCGATCAGTG